CCGAGAAGATTCTCTAGACTCCCCTAAAAGCTCATCATCATCTACGGCTCTGAAAGGTGAGTATGGAGAGATGGCTGGCCCTGATACTTCCCATACCTATTATGGCATCCTGTCCAGACTGTGGCAGAAGTCAAAGCAAAGCTAAAGACAACTATGAAGTAGGAACAGTGGCTTCACAGCACGCCTTCCCTAGCCAACCAAAAAGAGGTATAAGACAATTTCCTTTTTAACACTTGGTAAGCTAAGGAAGCTTGTTTTCATGTCTGGAAGAATTTCTATTTCAAAGAGCTCATGAAGAACTACGCAAAATCAATTATTTTCTATTTCAGAATTATATATAAGCTCACTATTATACACACATACAAATTCAATTTTAATCTACTTTTACCAACCAAGAGCTTGGCAATTTACAATAAATACCTTTATTAAACAATCACTTGTACTAGCTACTTGTGGAAAATGTGCTGGCGTTCCTATCTGAAGACGATTACACTCATCCATCATCAGTAGGTCATACACATTTCAGTTGTTCTTCAACTGAACACTAACAGAGACTAATCTAATTGAACACTCATACTTTTCCTTCCTTCCCACCCCTGCCCCAACTCTCTCTCTCCCTCTCACACCCACACACGTGTGTGCGCACGCACGCACACACACACACACACACACTCTCACTTTCTCTTTTCACAGAAAAGTAAGCTAGAGATTTAGTCAAAATGTTAGTTAAAAGTAAGGATCAGAACTGCTATCCCTGGATTCCTTGCACATTGCCCTAAGTTTCATTGCCTTAACATTTGTAAACCATTTAAATGACCTCTTTAGGGCAAAATTAACCATTCTAGCTCTGCTATGAAAATCATAACTGAACCATGATATACAAAGAATTTGGACAGTGCCAATGTGATTGAAAGTCAAGTCACCAAACTGGAAAACAATTCTCTACGTCTCTTAGAATTAGAATACCTCTTTCTATCCTTATTGTAGGCATTCATGTCTAGTGGAGACTGCAGTGTGTCTATCACAGACTAATGCTAATGTTTCTCTTTGAACATATATATGTAAAATATGGAGAATATATATATGTAAAATAAAAAGAGGTAGAAAAGGGTAGGAGGAGGAAGCAGGCATTAAGAAAGGTTTATGGGCCAACACACAGTCCTAAGGCCAAATGAACTCTTGAAGCCTACTGATTTTGGAAAAACCTTCCTGTGGTGGGTAACTTGAATTATTATTGATATAAAATAAAATTAAGGCATACAGAGAAAAAGGCACTACTAAAAATGAACAATTAAATTGCTTTTCATTAACACTTAATCAATCTTAAAATTCAAATAAATATGAGCATTACATTTGTAAAAAGGCCAAACTTAATATAACAATAAGGGCTCAAGAAACTGTCCTGACCCTAGCATATTTAACACTGTTGACAGAATACAACTTCTATCAAATGTTTTGGACATTTAATAATTTAGACTTTAAAAACTGTTTTCCCTTTAAAAGAAAAAGCAGGAAAAAACCTATGTTTTGGGATATATGCCCCTCACCACTAGAATTGAGTAGGGGATGGACTTTTTTATATAAGAGGGAGTCCTGAGACAGAGGCCACCTGACCTATGTGGTCCCTCCAATTTGGGGATACTTTTTCCCTGTTAATGGCATTTTAGTTTACAACAGCCAATGATTGCCCAAAATTGCTTTCCTCTCATTTCATAAAAAACAGTGATGTTTAAAAACATCACTGCTGAACTTTCAGAGTTAGGGTGTACCATAAAATAAGTGTATTTGTTTGCCTAATTTCCTCCTAGACTGTGACCTACTTAAAAAAGAAAGTTAATCTAGTACCTGACATAATAAGCCACAATTATTGAATAAGCAAGTAAAAAAGATTCACTCTCTTTAAAAGAAATTGATAGATTTCTATACTCAACTGACACCAGGTATTCTGTATCAAGTTACTGGTCTCTAGACCTCAAAACCACTGGCACAGAGCTCTGCTGTGGTTCAAAGAGTCTGCATCTGACAAGTATCTCAGCTTTTGCACCCAAGCTTGGTTGTCCCTATAAACTATCCAGATTTTATTTTTCTTAGTGACTTCACATATCTTACAACACCATCTCAGAAGTACTACAGACCAGACCTAATATATATAAGAGCTCTAGTAGCAGAAAACTCTTGTAAAAAAAAAAAAATCCACCTTTTTACTGTACTTTCTATTGGGAATAAGATAAAGGCTCTCTCAACTGAAAGCCCATTCAACTTACTTGGAAATAAGTTTTAACTTTTCTTTTACATTTCAGACTGTGCATTAACACTTCAAGCTCTTATATAAATTATGTAAGGTTGACTGCCTTTGACAACTTTCTAAGGCAATCATCTTTAACCATTTTCAAGTTAGAAACATGTTTGTAAGAGAAAAATTGAAAAATTTTCAAGATAGTCATACTGAAAACTTCAAAGTCTGTATACTTTTAAGTACATTTTAAAGAATTACCAACCATCAAAATTTCCATTAGTCATTATGTTATTTTTCAACCCTTTTATTCAATACAGTTTGTTTGCAATGTAAAAGATCTTATATTTGGTCCAAGCCTAACTCATGCCATTTTGAATCTCTCAAGGCCTAAGGAGAAAGATATTTCCTGAAAAGCACATATAAGACTGCTAGTGAATCTTCTCCAGCACCAAAGTCTGCCACTATCAAAGCAGAATGCATTTTAAAGGCACAAAGTCAGCAGTCTGGCCATTTTCCAGCCTCAGCAAAGAAACATTACAGTATAGAAGAATCAGTTGTGCATTTAAAAAACAAAATATATTTAGAGTCATATTTAAAAGTTCAAATTTCATTTGTTGATCCATACCATTATTAGAAAGAAAAAAACTGGAGTGTCATATTTAACTGCCCCTAATGGGTTTCCTTTCAAAATTTTTTCTAAAATTTACTTTTAGTCTTTCATACTTCATCCCACCTCAAGCTTTTTTGTTCTAGTAGTTTATATATATATTAACTTTTATTGTCATTTTTGGTACCTTTATAACTTGTTTGAAATAAATTCACATCACATTTTATATAATAATTCTGTAAACTATTAGTCTATTTTTAAGTCTTTACATAAAGAACAATACTTTTCCATATTTTTCTTATAAAACAAAGGTCTTCTGCAGCAGTGTTAAAGTAGTAGTTTCTTTTCAGGTGATTTTATCTTCCATAGCATTTAGAGAAGAAAAAAAACAAACGATTTTGCCTTGGGTTTCACAGCCCCCCAAGATTTCTCTCTAAAGAGCATTTCTCTCATATTCTGCACTGCTAGTTACCCTGGCAAACCAAAAATGAGCTACAAGGAAATCAAAACCACACAAGACGAAGGAATGAAGGAAAAGCCCACTGGTCCAGATACCACGATCTTGCTCAAGCAGAAGAGATGCCTTCACTCATAAAAGCTAAAGAAATTATAATAGATCCACATCCTTGGGGACTACGTTTATAGCACAAGATTTGGCAGCTGATTTTCAAGGGGGAAGAGGCCACTAATTCATATTCTTCCTTACAAGCTGCTTCCTTTAATTATACATGTATGGAAGAAGCCTTGACAACTGTATTTGTGCTTTGACTTTTTCTCAGACTAGCTAGAAGAATTTCAAATATTCCTAGAGAAAATGCCAGATAGGACCTTGATCCAGGAAACCAAGATCCACCCAACTTCAGAAACAAAGTATTTTAAAACAACCCCTAGAAGAGCATATCTTTTAGCAGAAAATAAAATACTAGAGCCCCTTATGAGTCCCACGAAAGGCTTCACATTTAGGGCCTCCAGAAAGACTACTATTTCCTAACCTTTAAAAATAAAGTACTAAGCACTTGCTTTAATATGATGAAACAAATTGCAAGTAGCTAAATTACTGCTATTACTCATATTTTTCAGTAGCACAAGTCCATTAGAGATAGTGGGAGTTTCCCAGATGCTTCTTTCCACTGGATGTCCTTGCTCTTGGTAGATACTAGTAATACCTGGCAGTTTTAAACATTCTTATAAAGTAGTTAATACTTTGTTTTGATATGCTTTTCTTTTCCCACAATTACAAACTGACTTTTGAGGAAAGAATATATACAGATGGCTGGGTTTAATAGGTTCCATGTTTAAATTCATTTTGTTTCTACAATGGAAGTTACTGATCTGGGTGTAATACACAGCTGGTAAAGGAAAGGACTGCTATTTGATGTTTGCTGAGATTGTTCACCCTTGACGTGAAGTAGTGGTATCAGCTCTTGTAAAACCCTTTTTCTGCATTGCATCACTTTCTCTCTGAAGTATACTTTTTGCAAGGAACCTACTCTGTAAATGGCTATTTTCAGTTTATAACTGGGGCTGGTCTTTACATCAGGTTCTCAACTTCAGCACTTTTTGACATTTTGGTCAGGATAATTCTTTGTTAGCAGATAGGGATGCTGTATTTGTATAGTGTAGTTTTTTTGGCAGCATCCCTGGCCTCAGACTACCCAGTGCCACTATGATCCTCCTAGTTGTGATTGTGACATGAAAAACTCTCCAGGCATTGCCGAATGCAAGGCAAAATTATTCCCACCCGACATTTGAGAACCACTGTTTTACACGGTAGCTTATTTTGTGAGGTGCTTTAGTATTCTGTGATCCCAAGAACAAGGATTTTTATCTCATGAGACTAGCTTTAACATGTGGATGCCCCAAGTTAAATTCTTAGTTCCCAAAGAATGTTATCTATGGGGAATCTGGAGCTAGAAATAGGAAGATACATGATTTGGTTATTTCTCTTTTCCCTTAATCTTGGGCCTTTTTCCCTCCACTAAAGAGCATAGTTTAAAATACACTAACATTTAGTTCTTCTTTTCATTATTTCTATTAACTGATAAATGTGGATTCTTCTGCCCACAAACTGAATCACACCAATCTCTTTTTGCCTTTTAATTTGGATTTGCTCACTGACTTCTCATATCTGCTTTACTCTAAAATAGTACCTTTCTCTTTTTTTTTTTTTTTAAGCTGAAAGCTATCCCTCAAGGTATACAGATTCCAGTAACATGGATCTATTATAGTGTATTTGCTTATTATACTGGTTAGGATTAACAAACATACCTCTTAGAGATTCATATTTTCTATCAAGACTCCTACTGAGCAAAAAGCCTGGTAGACAGAGGTTAGGATCTAAAGAATACAGATATAAGAAGGAACCTATATTCTTTAAGTTGAGTACCTACCCTAAACTCAAGTTTAGGGCTCAACCCCATAAATGAGGATCTATTTTAAATACTAATCACTAAAAACTACAAATCATACATCATTTTCTTCTCCTTGTTTTCCATGTCTCCCCATCACCACCAATCTGTCAGTGACATGGGGAAAGACTCTATAATCCTTAGGTATTCTAAATGATTTGTTTGTACTAAAAAGAGCAACTATGTACTAAAGTGCTTTATCTCTCTGAACCACATCAGTACATTATAAAAAAATTAAAAAAAAAAAGGAGTTTCAAGTTCTTGTAAGGGAAAAAAAAGATTAAATATAAAAAATTTAGGTTACTATTATTATTAAACAATTTAAACCAAGAATCAAGAGAAATACTTTCCCTCTTGTCTTTTTTCTCCCCATCTCTCTTTTTTATAAAAAAGAAAAGTGCAGTCAGAGAGAAGGTGAATGAATTGATGGGAGCTGGGTAGAGGCACAGGAGAGGTTACTGGCTGCTAGTGATAATGCACGAACATGTGCCTTAACAGTTCATCAGCTGAAGGTCTTAGTTTGGCCTCTATAAAGATCCGCTTGAGGAAATCTCGAGTATAGTCTGAGACATGAGGTGGCAGCTTTGGGTTTGTTGGCTGAGTGGCAATTTTAAAGATGGCAGCCATAGCTTCAAATTCTGCCCAAGGAGGCTTTTCAGTTAGCATTTCCACCACAGTACAGCCCACACTCCTAGGGGGGGAAAAATTACACAAATAGTATCATCATGAAGGAAAGTCACTTAACTACAACATGAGAAACACAACTAACATCCACTTACATTTAAATATAACTTCATTTCAAGTTTAAAGTTTCATTAAAAGGTTGTAATTATATAAAACTATAAACATAAAATCAATGGGAGACTAACTCAAATGGTTAGGCAAAGAACATTATTCATTTTATAATTTTGCCTTATATAATTTTCTAAATTGACATTAAACATAATTTTTTGTGTTTATCTTACAAAGAACACAAACACTAGAAATTCTTTTAGCCATTCGGTGCCTAAAATGAATATCTATTAAACACAATTCTGAGTGGGAAGTAGGAAACAGTCATTTTATGTTTTAACTTAAAGTTATTAATTAAAGATTAACTGAATTACATGATACTAACAAAAAAGATTAGTAACTCTTAAAGTTCCTCAGGGATATAAAACAAAGATAGTTTTCTAATGCTGAAATCTGCTTTAGATGAAACCCTTCCCGAAGAAAGGAAGACAGGCTCAAGAACTCCATTTACTTAGCTAATTATTAAGCCATAAACAGAAAAAATTAAAACAAAAGTATTCCTGGCGTCCTATTTCAAAAGTACCAAAGATCATTTAAATCTTGCTCAGTAACTTCCATTTTGGGTGGAATTATGTAAGAAGGCAGGTGTTTTTGTTTTTTGTTTTTTTAATTAACATATAATGTGTTATTTGTTTCAGGGGTACAGGTCTGTGATTGATCCGTCTTACCCAATTCACAGCACTCACCATAGCACATAGGCAAACCTAACATCAAAACCTACCAGATGTCTGCTTTTCTGCCATAGCCTTCTCCACTAATTACTTCGGGGCTCATCCAGTATGGTGTGCCTGTGACAGACTTCATCCCTGTCCCTGAAAGACAGATGGTTTGAAGCCGTTTGCTGGCCCCAAAATCTCCTAGTTTGACGTTGCCTGTTGAATCTCGCAGAATATTTGCACCTAAAAATATGAAAACATCCTCAATTCATTACTTTTTTTGGCTGTTTGCAATTAAAAAAAAAAAGGCAAATAATTACTTAGTAGACTCATCAGTCTATCTCCAAAATTAGGCTGCTTTTTGTCTTCCCAACAGTACCTGGTATAATGCCAGTCACACAACCAGGGCTCATTAAGAATTTACTGCACAAACACTAAATTTTTAGAGTCAGCTGTGTATGCTTTAGCACCCAAGAAGGCTTATCAGTGATAAGGGCTGGGGCCAGTAGGAGGTAAGGATGACAAAGAAGAAAAAGGAGAAAAGGGCTAAGAATGTGAAGCTCAGAGGAGGATACAGAAAGCAACAGAGGCTCTCAGCCCCAGTTTCTCTGTGACAAAGCCCATTCTGCAGCTCATTTCCCTGAGAAGCTAGCTTCTCAGGAACTTCCTCTGGGACCTTCATAATCAACAACTTCTAGCACCTTCCCCTCTACTGTAATTTTTTTATATCTTTTTTTTAATAAACATATAATGTATTATTAGCCCCAGGGGCCCTCTACTGTAATTTAATGTTAGTTATCCAGTTTTTCTTAGTATTGGATTTTGTTTTATACTAATTTTGTTTCTCAATGTCTCTATATTTAATCTCTCTTCTAAGTAAGCTTTGAGCTTTCTGTTTTAAAATTTTGTTTAGTTTTACAATAAACTTTTAAATTTTATTTACTATAAATGGACCTTGATCACAGGGTGTGAGGTAGAGTTTGCTGAACTCCCCAAGGTGAGTTACCCTTCCCCTCTTCCCATACAGCACTCTTTGGAAGAAGTTCACTACGCACAGCCCACAATCAAGGTGTGAGGATTTATGCTCCAGGCTGAGTAGCTGCATAAATTATTTGTAATTATTCTGTATGGTATATTTGTCTCCTTTCTTGCATTTATTCATTCAACCTTTCATTTATATCAGTATGACCACATGGATATTTATTTTATACTCTGAGTCATAATCAAATATGACTTTATTTTTTGGCTCAAGTTGTTCCAGCTTTGGCCATTGGGAGCTCTTTGAATTGGCTTCTGTGTCCCTCTGCCATACCCTGAATCACTGCATTCTTATTTGGTTTGGGTTTTTTGTTGTTTTTAAGCATTTTCTTACTTTCTGGCGCTTAAAGATGCTCTGGCTTCAACCTGTATATTTCTTCCACCAGTCCTAGAATCTGTCATTCCTCCAAGAAGCCCTGGATCCCTTTAGTGGCAAATGGTATCAGAAATCAAGATCTGGATGCTGGATTCATTTACTTTTTATTCTTATTTCTCCCCTTTATCATTTTTTGAACTCAGTCTTCTAGGATTATAAAGTTGGTTTCCATCTTACATAAATTATTTTTATTCTTATTTTAAGTCTTACATAAGCTTAACCATATTTTTTTTTAAAAACTCCTTATTTGTCCCTTTATCCTTTTTTTTTTAATGGCCTCTAAAAAGCAGAGTGAATAGTAGAGAAAAATCTGCATTACAAAACAGAGAGAATACAGACTGTTCATCCCCACCATGGACTTCTGTACTTGTCTTTCTGTTCTCCCAGCAAATTCCCCAGCCTAGTTAACAGGCTAGTTAACATGGCTAGTTAACATGGCTCCCCAAAGCCTCTCTCCCAGAGAGACTGGATCCATTCTCTGCATGCCATAAGCCTAAGCATGCCATGGTACCAGACCCTCAAAAAAAGTACTGCCTATTTAATATCTCCTATCATCCAAAACTTACAGAAAAGAGTCTGTCAAAAAAATCCACTGCCTATAAAATATTTAGCCAAAGAAAGAACAACAAACAAACCAGTTTTTTCAGTCTGTGAGCTGGGAAGGAGCAGTCCTGAGCCTACTCATATGAAGGGCTGAAGAGAAAATGTGTAGCCAAGCTCCCAAAATAACTTTCTAATCTTTTAAAGCTCATTTTAACTACATTAAAAGTAAGCTTTTAAGGAGACTTTTCAAAGATACAAAAGCAGACAAGATAGTATATGTACCCATAATGCAGCCCCAACAACCATCAGGGCAATGTTCCCCCACCACACATACTGCTAGCCACTCCCTCCTCCCTCTCATTATCAGAAGCAAATTCAACACATTATGATCAACAAATAGTTTACTGTAGGTCTTTAAAATATAAACTTATCACACCTAAAAGAATGGACAATAACTTCTTAATATTATTAAGCATATACTATTTTTAACATTTAAAAAAAAATCAGAATCCAAATAAAGTCCATACACTGAGACTCACTGAATTACCTTTTAAGTCTTTCCTAATCTAACGTTCCTTCTAATGTCTTTTTTTCTTTATAATTTATGATGAATCTAAGTTGTTTCCTACAGCTTTCTTATGGTCTAGATCTTGCTGACTTCATCCTAAGGAGTCATTTAACATGTTCCTCTGTCCTATATATGTTCTAAAACTCAGTAGCTGAATCTACACGCTTGATCAGATTCAGGTCTAATTTCTTTGGCAAAAATGTTTACGTAGATGATGTTATTATTCTACAAATAAGAAGTACATAATGCTGGACTATCTCAGTTTTAGTGATGTCAACAATTGTTCATATTTAGTACTTGTATCTAGTAATTCCTTAGTGGTTGCAAAATGGCACTACTCTATTATTCCTTTTTCATTTGTTAGCCAATATACTTCTATAAAGGTAAGTCTCCTTTCATCTAGGATTTAGTCCTCCGTAGTACAGTAACACAAAAGCAGAGTAAAGGAACCTTATTATGAAATAACAAATTGGTTCCCTAGCAACAATAATCAATAGTTTTTATCTTAAGTTTCATTATGAATTCATGGGTTTATTTATTTTAAAGATTTTATGCATTTATTTATTTGACAGAGAGACACCGCAAGAGAGGAAACACACGCAGGGGGAGTGGGAGAGGGAGAAGCAAGCTTCCTGCCCAGCAGGGAGCCTGATGGAGCACTTGATTCCAAGACCCTGGGATCATGACCAATGCACCCCAAACTCATGGGTTTAAACTTTAAAAGCAACCAACTATCTTTCCTTTCCCTCACCATATAAAAATTGTGCAATGAGGGGCACCTGGGTGGCTCAATGGGTTAAAGCCTTTTCAGCTCAGGTCATGATCCCAGGGTCCTCGGATGGAGCCCCGCCATCAGGCTCACTGCTCAGCAGAGAGCCTGTTTCCCCTTCTCTCTCTCTGCCTGCCTCTCTGCCTACTTGTGATTTCTGTCAAATAAATTTTTTTTAAAAATCTAAAAAAAAAAAAAAATTGTGCAATGAGAAAAATAAATCAAAAGTAAAAATAAATAAAAATTGCACATTATGGGGCACCTGGGTGGCTCAGTGGGTTAAAGCCTCTGCCTTCGGCTCAGGTAATGACCCCAGGATTCTGGGATGGAGCCCTGCATCACATCGGGTTCTCTGCTCAGCAGGGAGCCTGCTTCCTTCTCTCTCTGCCTGCCTCTCTGCCTACTTGTGATCTGTCTGTCAAATAAATTAAAGAAAAAAATTACTTTAAAAAAGTTGCACATTATAAAAATTTGGGAAATACAGAAAAAGTAAAAAGCACACAAATGAAAACAACCATCACTCATCCTGCAATTTGGAAATAATCACTTAATTATATGGAAATTCTTCTCCTAGGTCATACTTTAATTTTGCAAGCTTGAGATCATATTGCGTATCCAGTTTTATATCTTGTTTTTCTCTTATAAATCTGCTTGCTTCCAGCCTCATTTACCAGAATAGTTTATCACTCTTTCTGGCAAGGTTAGATGAGGATCCCCTGAGGGGTTGCTGTCCTCAGTTCCCGTACCTTTTCTCATTATGAAAGCAAGAGAAACTGGCTTGAATAGAGCTTATTTCTAATAGAATAATTCACAATCAAACAATTTCCCTTTGTGGTTCTTTAAGCTATCACTTGACTAGTAAGGTCTAAGCTAGGCAGAACTTGAGGTGAAAGGTTCCTATTTCTTTTAGAACACAAGCCATGTCCTCATTCTCTCAGACTCACTAGCAAGCTCCATCCCATACAAGCAATTTGGCTCAGGCATTCTGCAGCAGATTTTACTTTGTCACCAGAAACTGGGTAGAAATGTCTCTTTGGCCTGAATATGACCATATTTATGATGTGACACTACTAACAGCCTACTGCTGACTGGAAACCTTACTGATAACATACCTTTAACATGTATTTTGTATATTGTATTATCTATTATATTCTCATAATAAAATAAGTTAGAGAAAAGTAAATGTTAAAGTCATAAGGAAAATACATTTATGGTACTGCAGTTTATATATGAAAAAAAAAATCCAAAATTGGAGGACCCACATAGTTCAAACCTGTGTTGTTCAAGGGTCAACTGCATGTGTGTGCATATTTATTCTTAATGACTGATTAAATAAAGTGATCTTTATTTTTTTTTAAGATTTTATTTATTTATCTGACAGACAGAAATCCCAAGTAGGCAGAGAAACAGGTAGAGAGAGAGGAGGAAGCAGGCTCCCTGCTGAGCAGAGAACCCGATTTGGGGCTGGATCCCAGGACCCTGGGATCATGACTTGAGCCAAAGGCAGAGGCTTTAACCCACTGAGCCACCCAGGTGCCCCATAAAATGATCTTTAAATGTGAGTCACACCCCAGTATTTACAGAATCAGACCTCTGGGTATGCTCTGCGGTACAAAGTTTTAAGCACTCTCAAATTTGAAACACCTCCACCAATTGCTTTTTTCTCACATCATGCACTTCCTTACATACCTGCTCCCTGCAAACAGTTGAGTTTTTAGAGTCTTAAAAAGTGAGTTTAACTGAGCTCGAGTTCATCAAATCTCAAGTCTTGGCCTCTCTCCTTCCCTCTTCTTATTCTCTTCCTAGGTAATGACGTCCATTCCCATGGCTTTAAAAATGATCTCAACATAAAGTATGTCATAAGCATAGCTAACTTTTGAGGGTTTTCTAAATATAATGTTTTAAGCATATTATATACATCAAATCATTTAATCCATACAAAATCCCTGAGTTAGACACTATTATTATCCTCCTTAAAAACAAGGAACTGAGGCATAGAGAGATTATGTGTCTTGTCCAAGGTTATACAATGATGGATAAAGTCCAAATCTGCATCAGGCCAGCTGATGTCAGAGCCCCTACTCTTAACCACTATATTCTAATGCCTATGTCCTATGTATGAAAACATATTCTCATTTTCATGATCATCTGAACTTTACTGATGCTGTGGACCCCCCCACAGATGATCTACTCACTTGTGGAGATGTGAACATCAGGATAAGTTGGAATATTGACTGTGTCAGTGAGAAAGCAGAATTGTTTACTAAGATGTTTTAAAGGCAGACGTAGTAATTTAAATGCTAAATTTCTCACTCATATCACTTGTTTCATTCAGAGTCACACACACAAAAAAAAACTGTGTAAGTAAAATAAAGAATACCTCATTACTTACCTTTGATATCTCTATGAACAATCATATTACTGTGCAAATAATGTACGCCTTCCAGAATCTGACGGGTATATTTCCTAGTCACATTCTCAGTAAGAGCTCCATATGCTTTTAATTGGTCCTTAATTGAACCCTAAGATAAAAGAAAACAAAAGAAAACTATAGTATGGTTTGAAATAAAAACTACTATTAAATCTTTATTTTTTAAAGGATCTGCAGTTGTGAGTGGGAGGCTTTAGCTGGAGAGTATAGGAATTCTCAGTAAGGACATTATATGCCACCTAATTCAACATAAACTCTACTATATTCCCAGACTAGAACTGTGGAAGAATATGGTCATAGTTGAAAGAAGCCTTTTAAACTATTTTTTTGACTGATGACCTTGTTTCCATGATTATGTTGGTTCTATCTCTTGTTCCTTGCAATCATGTTTTTTAAAATCTTGTTTTTGCCCTGAATGTATTTTTGTTTTTCCTGCTTGCTCTTCTCCATATTCCCTACTTGAATCTTATTTATTTTATTTGATATCTGCTACATTACTTCTTAGGAGAAAGAATGGATATGATTAAATAGTCAACACACATATGAGATTTTTTTTTTTTTTTTTAAATATTTTATTTATTTATTTGAGAGAGACACAGTGAGAGAGAGCATGAGCGAGGAGAAGGTCAGAGAGAGAAGCAGACTCCCCGTGGAGCTGGGAGCCCGATGCGGGACTCGATCCCGGGACTCCGGGGTCATGACCTGAGCCGAAGGCAGTCGTCCAACCAACTGAGCCACCCAGGCGTCCCACATATGAGATTTTTAAAGTTTTTCTTTTATACTCAACATTCTAGTTTAAAACATGTGAAAATGTATTAAAGAAGAATTTCAAATTTTCTTACATGTTTTTTAAGGCAGGATGAGGTACCATCTCTGAGAATACTGAATCACTCTGAGGTGAGACACTGGCACTTGAATTTTGAAAAACCTTCCCTACTCTAGATTCCAACGTGAAAATCTGATGACTAATCACCATTTTAAAAGATGGGAATAAAATGCTTCCTGAAGGACAAAATCTTTTCTTTTTAACAGAGAATATATCCAAATGTTTCTGCCTTTCCTTGAGTTCTAGCTTGCGGTGTACTGTATTACATGAAAGTAGATCCCTAGACTTTATAGGTTTAACCATTTGCTGTTTCCACTATTCATGAGCAATCCCTGAAGGGACAGGACAGCAAGATGCAATTCTGTTGACTCACACTTGCAAACACATGTGTGGAAAGCCTTAGGCAGCCAAGCACCTGTAAGTCAATGTGGCTTGTTTATTCAGTCTATTTACTGTGTCTCTACTTATAGTAATACACAAAATAACACGCCTAGAACTGAGCTGTCCAAATAATAAGCCCCTAAATACTTGTAGGCTGCAAAATGAGTGACAGACTTAAGGCTTTTCTGGGCCTTGGGCAGTTGGGCCAGTGGCTTCTGGCTGCTAACAGCTCCACTGGTGCTATTTACTCCCATGTACCAAAAAAACAGTTCTCTTCTTCAGTGTGACAAGCAGAATGTGTTGCAAGTACTGTGCCAGCAAAAAACTCTGTGTCAGAAAAATCAACGGATAGTCCAGGGACAGAAAATAAAGTTATGGTTCTGTTCTGAAAGTAGTTCTAGATAAACTAAGGAAGAGAATGCTACATTTGGGAAAACTGAAAAACAGAACAACAATCTGTGCAAAGCATGAAATCTAGGGCACAAAGAGATCCATCATACTAAATTTAATGAGAGAAAATATGTAGCATCATTCACAAACTTGGAAATTCAGTAAAGTCTAAGATCATGTATGTCTGGCCCATATATGAGATTTGGCATATGTATAATTCATTTTAAGATTGTTGATGAACTATTATTATTTCAGTAAAATTATTTCAGTGACAACCTATACTTTGAAGAGATAGTTGCTCTTATAAAACCAAGCAGAGCTAATGAGAAACATGATCTAATACCTCTTCCTGAATAGTCCTGGCTTAGTTTTAAGATTGCTAAATCTCCATTTGTGATGTAAATCAGTTCTAGCCAATTAACCATTTAATCTTATCTTCAACAATCTGGGTCCCTATTCACACCTATTCAGAATTATCCTTTTGTTTCTAATTTAAATATATATTGGTCAAAAGTCTTCAAAATTTCTATGGCATTTAATACACCCCACCCCTCTGTTTTCCAAAGAAATTTAAAAAAACTAATTTACTTTGTCAACAGGATCTCTGAAATAAACAATTAATTATTCGTGATGATAAGAAAGAAAGTTAACTGCTGATCTTGTGAAACAGGATGATTAAGACCTCGACTACCAGATACTGATCCACAGTTTTTACTGACCCATAAGCTTAAACTGCAACCTGATACATGAAACATATAATTCTTTTTTTTTTTTAAGATTTTATTTATTTATTTGACAGAGAGAGGCCACAAGTAGGCAGAGAGGCAGGCAGAGAGGGGAGAAGTAGGCTCCCAGCTGAGCACAGAACCCGAGGTGGGGCTCCATCCCAGGACCCTGAGATCATGACCTGAGCCGAAAGCAGGTGCCCAAACCACTGAGCCACCCAGGTGCCCGGAAACATATAATTCTAATAAACAATCCACTTAAAGACCCATAAATCAAATCTTTTCCTTATATATACAACCGATTAAATTATATGAATACATGTATTTTTAAATGGGTAAGTATAACACCATCTTGAAAATCAATTATTAAAATGTACCCTACAAATACTAAAAATAACATAGAAGGAATGACAGTTGACAAGTCACATTTTGCAACTCCTACTGAAACTACTGACTTAGGCAATGATTACCAATCTGTATTAAAAAATCTTAGATAAATGGCTGAAATGGAACTGGATACTCTTTTTTAAAAGATTTATTCATTTGAGCAAGAGGGAGACAGATGGGGGTAAGAGAGAGAGAAAGAGAGAAAACATGAGCACACGAGTGGGGGAGGGGCAGAGGGAGAGAATCTTTAAGCAGACTGCCCACTGAGAGTGGAGCTGGATGTGGGGCACAAGGCTCAATCTCACAACCCCATGAGATCATGACCTGAGCTGAAACCATGAGTCGGACACTTAACTGAGCCACCAAGGAACCCCAGGAACTAGATATTCTTATGTGCCATTATTAATAGCTCAGATTACTTTCTGATCTTCAGAAAAAAACAAAACTTTACACTGGAGAAATCCGATGTCGAACATCCTAATCTAGCATTCATTCTTCGTATCACTAACAGTGAACAACCAGTATGTCTCCTAATCTAATTTAGATATTAGATCTAACTTGGAGTTAATAGGAAATAAGAGGATAAAGGAACAAATTAAACACCACCATGAGGATGCAATCAGAGAAATCTATGAGATGAGATTGTCAATAGAACTAGCCTAGTCTCTGTCAAATATATGTCATGTAAAAATGTTCTAGATTAAAAAAGAAGTAAGGGACATAACAGTTAAAGGTAATGTGTGATCCTGGACTGGATCCTGGTTTCATTAAACTAGCTACTATGGTTATTTTAAGAGCATTTAGAGAAATCTGAGGATGTCCTGCTGTGGTATATATAACCTATTTTAGTACACCTCAGCATTTTTTTAAATGAATTAAAAAATATATAAAAATAAAAATGAGTTTAAAAATACAAAGATAAATGAAGATATTGAACAAAATTATATTACCCAGCTGTAATTCAAAACTTCCAAAATGTCCTTACAGTTTTACATTTTATAATCAAAGTTCTTGTTTTTCTTTCCTCATCTAAGACTTTAAAAAGAAGATGTCTATTTTCAAATGATGTACTAACTTACCCCTGGCATATATTCCATAAATATAGAAAGTGTTTTTTCCTGGGGATCCCTCAAACAGCCATAATACTGAACAATTCGCTCATGCAGCAAATTTTTCAACAACTGAATTTCACACTCAAGTGCATTTACTTCCTGAAAGACAGAACTCACTGTTAAGTCTTTAAAGCACTGCTAGTAAAAGCAAAACATTTGAACTTCATGGACCATCAAGGTGATCTCATTCTGAAATTTTTACTTCCCAAGGAATAAACATTTTAAAGTCTCTAAACAGTAACTTTTCTAACAGTCCTTGATGGTATATTAAAGCAAAAATAAATCAGATTAGGAATATGAGCACTTAACGAGAAAAACAATTCACAGTACAAAGTAGATAAATATATCTAATTACAGACTGATTTATTTTGCAAATAATTTGTATGAAGAAAAATCAAAAATTCTACTGTTATATTTATTTAGTAAAAATGCTTCTTATAAATGTGACAAAGCAGCCTGTGCAGTGATTCTTACCTTGCTGGTCTCAGGGCTATCAGGGTCAAACTGAACTTGTTTAACTGCCAATTCTCTCCCTGTATCGACATCATAACAGAGGTAGACCCTGCCAAATGCTCCCTGGCCAAGCAGTTTGCCCAATCTCCAGTTGGTTGGAGCACGAGGCGCTAAAAAAGAAAATCATCTTAAAATGAAACAGCCAGACAACACACAAATGGGTAAGGACTAAATGAATAACTGCATTAGTGATATCCTTAATTGAATAAGCTTAGATATAATAAGGGAAAATCATGATCATCCTAATTCACAATGATCATCACTTTGAAATTTTTTTTGCCTTAGTCAATTTTCTGAGAGTTTGAAGTGCAAACAAGTTCATATATTCCCATGTCTTATTTTTTCCAATGAGATTATATTCCTCCCACAATTAAAAATGTAAAGCATTTTTCACTCAATCCAGAATACCACTGATTGTCAGATGCACTATTTCTAATCTTTACTGCAGCAATATTTGTAGTTATTTTTCCATCTGCTTACAATGTAGAAAGCTGGAAAGAGGTATCACTCTCATTCTAACAAGAGAAAATCTTGAAAGCAGCCAGAAGGGAGAATAAAGAAAAATACATACACACATAAATATACGTACATAAATTATAAATAAATACAGAAGAATAAAGATAACAATTACAGCAGACCTTTCCTCAAAAAGCATACAAGCCAGAAGAAAATGGAGAAATAGCTTTAAAGTGCTAACGGGGCGGGGGGGGAACTGCCCAGCATTCTATACCCAGAAAAAAAAATTTTTTTCAGAAATAAAGGAGAAAAAGACCTTTTTCAAACAAATGAAAGCTGAAAGAATTCATTTCCAGCAGAGTTAAATCACAAGAAAGGTTAAAGGCAATTCTTTTAAGAATTTGATACCTGGTAGAATCCTGGATATACATAATCTATTATCTATAAACTCTTGGGTCTACAGAAATAAAGTGATGTTCTTTACATCACATCTTTACATCACATCTTTACAGAAATAAAGTAATGTTCTTCTCTTATTTTTAATTACTTCAAAAAATAGCTGTCTAAATCAAGGTGACAAATGTATAAGTCAAATATGACAAGACTAGCACAAAAGGGATGAATGTGAAGGATGCAAATACTGCTGCAATAAATACCTTTGAGCACAAATCTTGGTATGCACTACTTATAAAGTCCAAATACTCCACGATCTGGCCTTAATTACCACCCTAGTCCTTTTCCTATTGTTTCAAGTAAGATATTCTCCACTTTAGCCAAAAATGAACTATTCCCCATTCTCAGAACATGGCATGTCTTCCTGCAGATATTACCTCCTGAACTGGTGAATCCTACTCACATTTAAGATCTAGATTAAATACTGTACTATAATCATTTCTCTACACACCATTCTCCCCACTAGATTACATCTTAATGGTCATATTTAAATAAATGACAAGTTGGTAACAATTTTACTAACAAAAGAGAAAAGAATCAGCCAAAGTAATTAGCAGTAATACTGTGCTTTTATACCTGATATTCCAACCAACTTTAGAAACATGCTTTTTACCTTTTTTGAGAAGTCTGCCTCACCCTAAGGACTGATTTGGTATTTATTCCTTTTAATACTATAAAGTTCTGCTGAGGTTCTACTAAACATTCACTGTGCCAATTTCTATTACTTACAGCGGCTGGGTGGGCTGATGTCCATTACAGTCAAAGTAGGATTGTCTATGTCACTTCCCCTTCTTCTTATTCGACTATCATCATACTCTGGGGTAAAGATACTGCTTCCACTGCTAGTACTTAAAGAGTGATCAGTAGGACTGAAACTCACAGGAGATCGGAAGCTGGTCCCCTGGGTCCTTCTAGCTCTTGGAAAAGTTTTACGACCTACAAAATCAAAATATAATTATCTTACAATTTTACTCATGTTCTAACTCAAAGTATTTAAAATTTGTACAATAAGGTACAAATGTCTGTCTTGTGACTAGACTTGACAAGGCTAAGAAATAGAACTAGCAATGCTTATTTGATTACATGTTTTAAACTTAAGAATAGTATTTAAAAAAAAAAAAGAAAAAGAGTAGTAGTTTTCTTTTAAAGGTCAAGTAGTAGTTTTCTTTTAACACTGAATCATGAAGTCAAAAATGAAAATACAAGGTATAAGGAAGAGAAAAGGTAAGGAAGAAAAAAAAATCAGAAATGAAAAGTGGGGAAAAACAGGATCTGAATATAAATTCAAACAATCTCTTTTGTTAAAACATACACACGCATTCATAAAATCATTGTGCTCCCTTACTTCTGGATAAAAAAAAACTACTTTATTCTTATTTCCAATTATAAGAAAATTAAAAAATTTATAGGTAGCATTTTTTTTTCCTTAAAAGTACAAATCAAGTATGAATTTCATCACCAAGGAGTAATTTTCTAGTTAATATCATTTTTAATTACACCTTTAAGGGAAAGGTAAGTATTATGAAATAAGGTGGCATAAACCTAAGATGTTATTATAGTTTTAGTTACCTAATTCCTTTTAAAAACTGTTTTCAACAGAAAACTAAATGATTTAGGAACAAATTTATTTCTAATGGTTTATGATATTTTAAAATTTCAATTTTATTTTTGAGTCTTTAAGATCCTGTTCTTGTGGTCTAATTGCCAGAAACTTACCATCATTATAATCTTGATGGTGATATGAAACATGATACCTTCTTGGGTATGTTCCTCCTTTTCCAAATTTCTCAAAGATAGGGTTATCATAGTCTATTGAAACATAAGTAAGTTATATGTTAATTTAAAAAGTCCAATATCTCTAATTTTTTTTTTAATTTTATTTATGTATTTGACAGACAGAGATCACAAGTAGGCAGAGAGGAAGGCAGAGAGAGAGGAAGGGAAGCAGGCTCCCCCCCAAACAAAGAGAGAGCCCGATTCGGAGCTCGATCCCAGGACCCTGGGATCATGACCCAAGCCAAAGGCAGAGGCTTCCCACTTAGCCACCCAGGTGCCCCCAATATCTCTAATTTTAAATAAAAAACACATTTACATATTTTTTATTCTTTTTTTTAAAAAATTCCCCTCTTCCTCCCAGCCAAAGCATTGTTTAATGACATAAATATTTAAATACATAGAATATGGATAGTCTAACCTGAAAATTCCTGATGATTATCTGGGTAGCTCTGTGCCCTAGGCATTCGTGATTTTGGATAGCTCTCTCTAAAAATAAAAAATGTCACATTAAATGAACAGAAAGTATGTAAATGAGACATTTAAAATATCAGTATCTGTATGTGTGGAAATTATACCTATATACATACACATAAGAATAAAGGAGCTCAGTCTGAAATGTTAACTGAAAAAAAGAGACTTTTTTTAACACTTATTTGGTGCATGGAACCAAAAGCCTGGCTTTTAAAATTAACCCATAGGGTATAGCAGTAAAAGTATAAGTTTTGGAATTATGGTTGTTGGCAAACACCTGTGTTTCAAAACTAGCTCTACCACTTAACTAGCAGTTGCAACCTTGGAATACCTATCAACTTGTTGAGACTTTCCATATCTATAAAAACAAGATAATAATTTCCAACTCATCAAGTGGGTATGTATGATGCATGGTGCTAAGGACAGTGCTTTGAAAATATTAAGTGCTCAATATACAGCTTTCACATTATTTTCCTGAATTTCTTAAATGTTTCAGTATCTATCTTGAGGTAGACAGGGGCACAGACAAAGGTTTCATGTGCACAGGTAAAAGAAAATTAAATGTGTATTCCCATAAAGTAGTTATATTTTCAGAACTTGCTCTAAAAAGAAATCCCAGAGGAGAGCAAATAAGTAAAGATTTTATGGACTCTGTGTGCTACATGTAAACACTGTTTACTGATACCAGGAGAGGAGGAGCACCTGTAACAAAAAATTCATAGTTGCAACTTCACCCAGATTATAATTCTGAATAGCTATTTCACAAAAGTACTTAAGTTTTAAATGACAGCCAACATACTGGGCCACAATTACCAAGAAAGTAAGCTACTAATTTGGTGCCAGAATGAACATAATTATGAACAGGTGAAACAACTCAAGAAACCTCCAAAACTCAAAGTATTTTTTTTAAAGATTTATTTATTTGAGAGAGAGAGCGCACGTCTGCACACGCACGCATGGAAAAGGTGGGGGTGGGTAAGAGATGACCTGAGCCAAATCAAGAATTGGAAGCTCAACCAACTGCACCACCCAAGCATCCCACCAACAGATTTTTAAAAGTAAACTCCATAAATTCTAAGTTTGCATTTAGCTTCAAACGCAGAATTCTGGTAAGCAGAAATACTCATTATAATCAAGTTATCATTTTACCTAATAAAGATACTGAGCCCCAGAAGGTTAACGGGTTTGTCCAAACTGTGAAAAAATTCATTTGTCCTAAGTATAAACAAGTATCAATTACATTCCTCTGACATACTATATATACACGTTTACCTGTATATATTAAAAAATAAAAACTACAATCAATATTACCCATCCAAAGGACTATCAAGGGATGGACAACTTCCTGAGCCAGAATTTTCAGGACTGCTTAAAGACAATGGGTCCAGCATCTAGAAAAATAAAGAGTTCCTCCATGGTTCAATGTGATATAACCAAAAGTTACCAGTTTCTTTTAAACAGCTTTATTGTGATATAATTCATATAACATAAAATTCACCCATTTAAAGTGCACAATTTAGTGGTTTTTAGTATATTGCGAGCTGTGCAACTCTCAGCAGTATCTGAAAACACTTTCAGTACCCAAAAGTCCCCTATCCAATAGCAGTCGCCTCCCCGAGTTACTAATTTTTTAATGTTTTAAAAAGTGATCCCTTATAGGTAGGTAACTTCAAAATTTCCTAAGAGAAAAATATTTTCTCTATAGACTATTAGCTAAATAATTAAAAGCTAAAAGATTTCACATAACTTTGCTCACTGAACACTGAACAGCCCCACTCAAACTGAGAATAATGACACCATGACTACTACATAATTAAACACTTAAAAATGTTTTACAAAGTTGACAAACCTAAGCTTCACAAAGTTAAATATCTGCAGTTTTACTGTATCTGTCAAATGTCAAAAATCTGAATGTTAACCCCACAATTACAAATAAATGCATTCATTTATTTATAGATGAGTAGAGTAAGAAAACCAGCCTTATTCTAGCTTTTTTTATACATGAATGCACACAGGCTCATGTAACTTAGTTGGCATTTTCCTATGTGTTTTACTATTTTGTTCACTTAAGAGGGAAGATATGGGATGGGAGAAAAGATCACACACTCACACACATACAAAATACCAGCCAAACCACACAAATCCTGACAACATCCCTTTAAGTGAAATGAAAAATGACATCCAACTTTTGCTTACTTGGTCCATGCTCTCTGGAATGAACTCTCCTTCACTGTTGATACTAGTGAATGACCCATTCCGGGCAACCTGGTGTAATTCATCTGGAATGTATCCTGGGGGTGGGGAGCTTCTATCTCTACTAGTGGGACCTCAAAGGAAAAAAATTATACAATTTTATAAATATCAACTGGGAACTAATTTTTGTTTCAATTAAATATGCACACAGGATTTCTGGACTGCAGTACCAATAATTTTAGCCACTAAAATTCAGTTTTTATTAAAACTTATCCAAACATTTCTATAAATCTGCAAATATACCTTTTTTTAAAATTTCCACCCTACTATAATAATTAACCTCACTGTAATATTTATTTATAGTTATTAGGTGGTATATTCCTCTAACTGCTGACAACTGTATTATGGGGCTGATATTATAATAAAGATTTTTAGATGCCACTGCTTCTGAACTTCTAAGAGTCATTTGTACAAGATATATGTTACCCTTTAAGGGGATTTATGGAAAGCATCATAATGTAGTAGAAAAAATGTGGGCTTTAGACCTGTTTAAATCGCAGTTCTAGTTATTCACCAACTGTATGTCTTTGGTGAAGTTGCTCAATCCCCACCAACCCATTTCCTCAGCTGTCAACACAAGACTAATTCCCTCTCTCCCACAGAACAAACTGGTGGTTACCAAAGGGAAGGTGGGTGTGGGGATAGGTGAAACAGGTGAGGGGAATTAAGAGTATACTCATCTTGATGAGCACTAAGAAATGTACAGAACTGTTGAATCACTAAATTGTACACCTGAAACTAACACAAAACTGTATGTTAATCATACTTTAATTTAAAAAATAGATTAAAAAATACATAAAGCCAGCACTTAGGTTAAACAAACAAAAAAGACTAAATCCTCCTTTGCAAGGGTATTATGGTGGTAAAATCACTCATACTGAACATATGCTCTGCATATTTGGCTCCACGATGCTCTTCCTGTTCCCTTTCCTTAATCTTTAGAAACCTAAAGTGTATACACAACTAACGAATCACTAAACACTACATCAAAAACTAATAATGTATTGTATGTTGGTTAGCTGAACAGAATAAAAAAAAATTTTAAAATCCCCACAGAAACCTAAAGTGAGATTACTCTTAAATTCAAATTGGAATTCTGACTTTTATTCTGGGATACTTTAAAATTGAGTTTTATGATAAGCCATATTCCTGGCATTTAAATTTCTTCACAGTTCCGAAAATGAGAAAATCTAATGTAGTTCATCTAACAAATCATATCATTTCTTATGAGACAACAATCCACTTTATTTTTACCTGATTTTATAGAAATAACACTATGTTTATTAACACAACTCTCCCCTTTTCTCTGAATATTTTGAAATTAAACTACTAAAGATACAGTAAAGTTATATGAGCATTTAAGTTTTGGTCAGATTTAAAGCAAAAAGGCTTTGCCTTATTAAAAGGGGTCACTGTAAGTATATATCAGCATTTGTTAGTGAGGAGGAGATAGGGAGAAAGAGAACAAAATGATTACCAAGGAATGTGCACAGAAAACATAACTTTCCACTTGATTCTGAAATTAGGAACTCAACTCTGAGCCAGAGGTTTACTTAAGCCTTGTAACACCTATCATCACACTGTCCCTAGTATTTTTATTCCTTCCATATACCCTAAAGAAGATCAATATACTCATTACTAAAAGGAGATAGGGAAGAAAAACTGTGAAGAAAGTTTCTTCATCTCCTTACTTGATAACCCATCTTTCTTTTCATTTATTCATTTTATTTTTACCCAAGTCTAGTTGATACACAATGTTAAAACAGCTTTAAGGTATACAACATAGTGATCTGACAATTCTAATGCTCACCACTGGTTAAGTGTAGTTGGCATCTATCACCATATGTTATTACAATAGTATTGACTATATTTCCTACATTGTGCTTTTCACCTCCGTGACTTATTTTATAACTGGAAGTTTGTACCTCTTAATCCCCTTCACCTATTTTGCCCAACTCCCCACTCCCCTGACAAATGCTCATTTGTTCTCTGTGTCTAATAGTCTGGCTTTTCGCTTGTTAATTCATTTGTTTTATTTTTTAGATTCAACATATAAGTGAAATCAAATGTTATATGTGTTTCTCTGACTTGTTTCACTTAGCATAATACCCGCTAGGTCCATCTGTGTTGCCACAAATGGGATGGTCTCATTTTTTTAATGACCCAGTAATACAGCATTGTATATATATCCACACCACATCTTTAACTATTCATTTATCAATGGATACTTAGGTTGTATCCATATCTTGGCTTATATATAATGCTACAATAAATACAGGGATGCATATATCTTTTCAAATTAGCTTTTCTTCGAATTTCGTCGCATTTCATTTTCTTTACCAAAAGACACAAGAAAAGATGCTCAACATCACTCATCATCAGGGAAATGCAAATCAAGCCACAATGAGATATCACCTCACACCTATCAGAAAGGAACAGAAGATGAATAACAGATTTTGGAGGGTCCCACACACCAATTTAATCTTTTCTTTTGTTATTAACAATCCTCTTCTATTACTAGTCTTGGATTCCCAACCACATCTCTTATTCTGCCCCCTCTTCTGCTTTCTCCTTCTTATCTGTTTCACCTCCTCTTCTACTTTTCCCTTTCAAATCCATCTCTCATATTCGTTTTCATGCTGTCTTAAATGATCACACTCATTGCCCTATCTGTTAAAAAACATTTACACCAGTGGTTTTTGAGCAATGTAGTATTTTTAACATAAAAAATGCAGATAATTAATGTTTTATACTAACTGAAGAAGATCCACAGAACTAGGGAGTTTAGAGCTCCTCTGCCTTGCCCACACCTCTCTACTAGACCTCCTTCAAAACTGACAATACAGAAAATCCATTGTTTCTTTGTATACTACAAGCTTAATTTTAACAATCTACTATTAATGACGAATACTGAATACTAATAAAGCAATAATCTGGAAACTCTCAGCAATTCATTCTGATAGGACTGCAATGACTAAAACGTAGAGAAAGGCTTATGAACTTGGTCTATCCATTAATTTCAGTATATTAGAATTACTTCTTTTAATTTCTTCCCTCCAGTTTATTTGTGTAATTAAAACCTCTTTGAGGTTTTACTTGGATTTTTAAATATTAAAATACCCTAAGTACATAAAGAAAACAAATATTTAAGTTGGAGACTGCTAATCTTGTAACACTTGATATAACTTTTCATGGAACATCAGAAACTAGAACACAGTTGAGGAAAATTACAGAGTACAGAGGCAGGCTGCTATTTATCATGGTTATGTTTAGGTGTTACGTACATTAAAGGATGGAGAAGAAACTGAGAAACTGCCCATTTTATGGTTCAGACACTAGCATTCTTACCTATTATAGAAAGTCGCTTTTTCCTCTCTGCTCCAAATACTGTGTTATCTAAGTCTTCTAGTGATGGCAACGGTTCTAAATTAGTAGCCTAGAAAGGAAAAAGGATGATTAATGCTATTCTTCCCCTTTGGGGCTTCAAACAGAATCCTTTCCCCTACCAAATACAACCCAGATATTCTGTATTATTTATAGGTCTTACCAAATCTATTCTCTGAAATTTTAATTCCAGCATAATTCTTCCTAAATTTTTAGTATTTCTATTAGTTCCAGATGTACAGTATATTATACTTATTTATAATTCTGGCTACATAGTTTTGAGGAGCAAGGATAAGCTATAGCAATTCAGTAAGTAATGTAATGTAAGTTTACATTTCATTATACTTAAAAAGAATCAATGATTATAGAATGTAACTATGTTTCATATACTGACTTTCACTGGCATTAATGCTATAATCCTTACTGAAAGAAGTATCAATTCATACCTGTGCACTTCCGTTTATTACAAGTAATATCTTGAGGCTCTTCATATGAATACTACGATCCAGCAGTTCCACAGCTTTGTCCAAGTCATCTTGGGTAGTTAATGGAATTACCAACTAAACAAAATGGAACATAATGTATCATACAACCATCCCACCAGGTCAAGTCCTTTCAAGAGCATCTCTGTTACCATGGAATTACAAATTTCAAAATACCCTGGCTCTGTGAATTGTCAGTGCAATGAAATTCTGAATGGATAATTTATTTAGATTATTTCACTCTTCCCATCCTAAATCCCACTAAAATCATAGACTGAATAAGGACAAAAAAAACTTTTTTTGCTTTATTAATTAAATTCTTCTAGAAAACACATTTAAAGATTAATATTTTAAGATATTCCCAAAGGCTGCATTCCAAAACAGCACTAAAGAACACACAGGAAAAACTATATAAAAGAACTATCTTTCATCTGCACTGATTAAACCCACATTTTTCCCTATAGCAACTATGAATTTGCATTCTCAACTACAGTGCTTATCAACATCACAAATACAATGAATCTATAGCGGATGCCATGGAGGGGGCCACTAGCAATGTATCTGCAATCTACAGTCCACTTGGGGCTCTCATATCTGACCCTGGTCACTTGACCATTAAACTCTAAACAGATAAGCTAAATGGGTCAGCCATCCAAAGTAAACCCTAAATATGGGTACGTGCTTTCACTAGTTCTCTAATGGGTCAGATGTTATAAAGGACAAAAGCAGAGGTGCCTAGGTGGCTCAGTGGGTTAAGCACCAGACTCCTGATTTCAGCTCAGGTAATGATCTCAGGGTCCTGGGATCAAGTCCCATGTCAGGTTCCACACTCAGCAGGGAATCTGCTTGAGGATTCTCTTTCCCTCTCCCCCTCTTGCCCACCCCCTGCTCACATGCACGCATATTCACTCTCTCTCTAAAATAAATAAATCTTTAAAATAAATAAAGGACAAAAGCACCTGAGAAGTCTATGAAAAAACATGCTTATACAACTTAAGAATTAAAATTTTAAAAAAAAATGTAAACTTAGTTCCTAAAGACAACTATCAATAATCTTCAACTGCATATTCCATCTCACTGAAGGATGGACAGAATAAAAATGAACATATGCCACACCTGCTGCCCAGCTCTATTTAAGTAGAGTATAGAAGCCTTTCACAAATGTAAACGCTTAGTTAGTTTGGGTCCTTAACAGTATAAATTCCTTTAGGACAAGGACACTAATAAGTGACACAGAACATGGCAAAGAGTAAACAGTTTTAATGGATGTCATAAGGTAAAAGCTTCATCTGTAACCAAACCTATTAGCTGACACGGTATGCATTCTCTGCTGATTTCTTTATGGAAAACAGCCCTTGTTTTAATAAAGGCTGCCAAACAGAAATAATGTGAATTCTGGACTAATGTGAATTCTATCATGCAATCCACTTAAATTTACTTAATGTGTACGCGAAATTATATTCCCAATTTCTTTTTTTAGCTACTTTAGTCATTTTGTACTATTCCAATTTACCCACTAACCAGGCGTTTTTTTCCTCTTTGAGAATTTTTCTCAAATAGAAAATAATAGAAATAATAATAAAAATATAATAATATATAATTAATAATAGAAAAAGAATAATAACTGTCTGGTATCACAGAGTAAACATAAAAGGAAAAAGAATATCCTTTCATTTTCCTATCAATTATGAACCATAATAATATACCCTGTTCCCATCTTTAGTATTCTTTTTAATTATATTTTAAGCACTAGAAAACATTTTAAAGCAATGAAGATTTTTTTTCCAGTTTTCCATTTGAGGGGAAAACCCGACTATTTACTTTAACTACATATTCATTAATAATTGGATTGTTTACTTCTCCAAGATACTATTACTTTCGGGGTTAAAGACACTAGTTTAAATCACAGTAACATAAATGATTCTGTTCTTCTTCAGTTTGTTAATGTCATATCTGGGCAATCTGGAGGAGTATGTGGATTGATAGCCTGGACTACCACCTATGGTTCTAATGTGATCCCTTAAACATTCTAGGGTCACCTATTATCAATTTTACAATGAGGACTAAGAGTTAAAAACAAGTCCCAGCTTGTCTAAATTATATTAAATAAGTGACACGTTTTCCTGCTTAGTGAATTCATTCCAGCCTCATTCTTGAAATCTATTTCCCTCTACCTTAACATTGATATATTGTCAGTTAATATAAATCCTTTCTGGAAACTAAAAATTGAGTCCCAAAAGCCACTAAATAGAACCTAAATTTGAAAGAAGTGATTTGTTTATGTGATTTTACATAGTGAAACATGGTAATAGTCCATAAAGAGGTTTCCCTCAACTCTAACCATCTAAAATGGGAATGATCTTAGAAAATCCACTTACCTTGCCCGAACACCCTCACATCACACCCACACCCACACCCACACTCACTCTCTCTCTCTCCCTCAACACTATTAAATAAAGAGAAGCCCAACTAACAAATCCAACAAATTCCAACTTACATTTTCACACTGTTTCAATTCTGGCAAGCTACAAGTTTACAGAATAATAGTTCTTTTAGAACACAGGAATTTATGCTATACTAGAAAAAAACAGCTACAGAACTGGGATAACAAGCAGTATAAATGAGTTTTTTGCTTGTTCACAGGTCCACAAAACCAAGACTTTATAAGTCCCTCAGCATTGAAGGACATGCACGGAGTCTGTCATGGTTAACTCACAGAAGTCAGTCTCTCAGAACCTCTTAATCGAAAGAAATTTTTAAACAACATAATCTTACCCTAATGTCTCTTCTAATACATTTCTGCCAAGAGGCCACTCATACAGAATGGCAGAACCACTGACCAGAAATCCTTCAGAAAGCATGAGAAAAAGAAACTGAAAATGGAGAAATTTTCCAATTTTTTAGAAAATAGAAGAAGGTTCCTCAAACTACAGATTAGTTAGCTTGATGTCAATCCTCAAGAAAACTCAAGAAAAAATTATTTGAAACAAACTGGAAGGAAAAGAAAGAAAGAGCAATTCTAGGAGCTAGAACAGATACAATATGAACAAATTATGTCAAACTAATCACATTTTTCTTGATAAACCTACTAGACTGGTAGATCAATACAATATTGTAGTCTTAATATATCTTGACATTTTAGAGTTTCCCATGATTTAATTTTAGACCAAACAAAAGGAAAGATATAACCTGGTTCCCCTAAAATCATACCATGAAATAAATCAAATTCAAGCCTGTTTATACAGGAAAAGATTCTAGGAAACATTGATAGGGGAATGGGGAAGTCAGGGAAGGAGGCCCATATAGGGTGTGTTATCCAGCAAGTTACCACTGTGGTTAAGTGGAACCCATCCATCCCCACCCCTCACCCCATTCTTGAGTCTCATTCTCCTATCACCTCCCCAATACCCCAAATGTACTTTTGTGTGGACCCTACAGCTATACCTCTGAATAGCCTTCAGTCTCAGGGGCACAACAGAAACAGTAAGTGCCAACATAGGGCCAGGCAACAAGAGGTGTTCATGGCTAACCAAAAACACAAAAAGTACTTGAAAATTGAAATTTTAAGGTATTACTATAGTATGATACTCATCACTTTGTTCAAGAATATTGTTTGAATACAGATTTTTACTTTACCAAAATATTTTCTGCTTTCATCTGTAAGTGGTTTCTTTAGAAAACTAATTAGCATACTTTTGCTTTAAATAATAATTCATTTGAAAAGCTAATATTAGGGGCACCTGGGTGGCTCAGTGGGCTAAAACCTCTGCCTTCAGCTCGGGTCATGATCCCAGGGTCCTGGGATCAAGCCCCACATTGGGCTCTCTGCTCGGCAGGGAGCTTGCTTCCCTTCCTCTCTCTCTGCCTGCTTCTCTGCCTACTTGTGATCTCAGTCTGTCAAATAAATAAATAAAAATCTTTAAAAAAAAAAAAAGCTAATATTAGAAAATATTTTATTTGCATAATTCTTGAACATTTGCAAAGCACTTTCACATGTTTTCTCAAGTTAATTTTTACTAAGCTCTCTACCATTACTCCATTCCCACTGGCATTTTTTCTATTCCTAAAACATAGTAGTCTTTTCTATCTTAGGATCTCTGTAGGCAATTTTCTCAGCTGCTCTTTCTACCAGGAATGTTCTTCCCCTCAAACTATTTGCAAATTTGGCATTTCTTACCTCAAGTCTCAGTAATTAAATATTACCACCTCAGTTCTTAGTACTATCTAAACAGAACACCTACTTGCCTTGCCTTTATTCTTTTTCACGTTCACAGTATTTTAAGCATGGCCTTCAAAGAACCTCATATATTTTAATAACTCATTATTTGTCTGCTTCTACCACAAGTCTATAAACTCCATGAAGGGCTGCAATTCATAAATCACAGTATTATGCCTGTCAAATTCAAGTATTTTCTGAGGAAAACAACAAATTAACCAATCAACCAAATTAGGTCCCTGAAAATTTTAAGATTCAAGATCTTGAGATCTCATAGGATCTGAAAGAAACCTCAGAGATTACCTAATCCAATCTGAGTTTTACAGAAAGTACAAAAGTGGATTTTCCAGAACACAGAGCTCCTCAATGCCAGAGCAAGCCCTTAAGATCACATGTATTGATCACAAACATAAACATAATGATCTAATCATGTCCTAACACAAAAATAATCCTTTTAAAGTTTTAACTAAACTGACTACTAAAGCTCTACTGTCTCTATAGTCGAGTGTAGAGTATGAGAAAAAAAGACAGTTCACCAAAAAGTACACACAGTGATAATAAAACATAGATAAGCAGTAAACTTTTTTTTTAAAAAAGATTTTAATTATTTATTGAGAGAGAGAGAAACTTGGGGAGGAGCAGAGAGAGAGTGAGAGAATCCCTAGCAGACTCCTCACCAGAGAGCCAGACTTGGGGGCTTGATCTCACAATCCTGAAATCACAACCTGAGCCAAAATCAAGAGTTGGACACTTAACTGACTTAGCCACCCAGATGCCCCAGCAGCAAACTTCTAAATAATACATATGTTTCCTGCTCCAATATATTCTCATTCAATTATTTGCACAATAGCATCTTTAAATGCCTTACACAATGTAAAAAAAAAAAAAAAATTTCAATTAGTTAAACTTTACAAATTTACTTACAATATTTTATTTCTCTAACATACCATAACCTTATCAGTCCCTAAATAAATATTCCTAAAACAGTCTCTTAGGGGCACCTGGGTGGCTCAGTGGGTTAAAGCCTCTGCCTTCAGCACGGATCATGATCCCAGGGGCCTGGGATCAAGCCCCGCATTGGACTCTCTGCTCGGCCGGGAGCCTGCTTCCTCCTCTCTCTCTTCTCTCTGCCTACTTGTGATCTCTATCTGTCAAATAAATAAATAAATAAATCTTAAAAAAAAAAAAAAAAAGTCTCTTAAATGAACATACTACTTCCCAAAATAAGAGCAACTGAAAGTTAAACTGTACAAGTTTACCTCATTATTGGTATAATGGAGATCCATAGACTGTCCAAAGGCAATTTTAGCCTTAGATCTCAGATCTTCCAGTTTAACTGGTCTGGGGAATTGAAGGATTCTATACAGACAGAATTTTAAGATAATTAATTTTCTTAGGCATAGTTAAGTAACATATTTAAAACAGTTATCTCTTTGGTAGAGAAATATAAAATGAAGTCTGAAACTGCTTTATGAATATTAAAAAGCAATTGTAAAATGTTCACTGAAGAACGTGATTAAAATTAAACTATGTGATTTCTATATAATGGAATGCAATGAAATGGTTAAAAAGAATGAAGTTTTTCCTTAGGGATTTAAATTTTGATTTCTGTATCCTTATCAACTCAACATTTTTGATCACCTATATATCATGTAAGTATATCCCCCAAATAAGTATTTTAAAATTTTAAATTCTAATATTTCCTTCCTATGTAGTAAAGGACTGGCCTGTACTGCCCATGGGAGGCATGCAGCTAAGCTTGGAGATTTCTACACCAGACTGTCAACTCTGTAAGGGGGAAGGACCATGTCTGTTTTAGTCTTTATTCCTTCACAGTCTAGTACTTACAATACTTAATAAATAGTGCTCAGTAAATGGAAAAGAACTGAGGAAATATCCATAAAAGAACAATAAATAAGGAAAAAGTAGACTGGACAACAGGATGGAATATCTGGTATAACCCATTTTTGTAGATATCTCTGTGTAAAGCACGTTTACATCTTCAGGTTATAGGACTTATGAGCCTTTTTAAAGTCCTTAAAATGGATAGCTCTTTCATTAAATGAATTTAATGAGACACTAATAACAGAAATGAAATCCCATCTTCTTTAACTCCTACTAGACCTTGTTAGCAGTTTTGTTGTCAATTACCACCACCGCCCACCACCACTACACTAAGATAGAGATACCCAGGAGAAGGCTAGGCTTATACCTTTGCTGATTAATTTATAGCCACCATGCCAACTCTATTTCTCAAAGTTACTAATTAAATACATGTCATATGATTGAGGTCTCTCAAACAAAATTATGAATGTTAACTCCATGTACATAAATTCTATATAATATCTGAAGAAATTATACAATTACAATGAGCAGAAATATATTTAATTTCCTCCGAGTAAAAATAAAAGGAATGGTAATATTTAAAGGCTGCATTATGCAATTACCTTTTTTATTTCTTAAAATAAAAACATTAATCATTTCTAATGTTTAACCTAAATTCTGAGAGATTCTATTTTAAGTCTAAGTGCATGTTATACATTACGAAGGACTATTCCACTCTCAATTTGTAAGCCATGAACCTCCACTAAAGTCCAGAAAAAAAACCCCTAATGGCTTTAATTATGACTCGTTTGATTAAATCAATAAACTAAGATGTAATGTTTCTTTCCTTACCTTTTTTCCCCTCTATGTTCAAATTTGACTCGAACATCATTCTGTAATGAAACGATAAATCATTTTGGAGATCAGATAATATTTCTAGAATTTCTGGTCATTTTTTTTCTTAGTCACCCCTTTCCTGCCCCCCACCTTGGTCACTCATTTAAAATAGAGGAGGAGGAAAGGATGTTTCATTTTCAGTGTGAACTCCAATTAACTGATTGTGTCCACAAAAGAGCCGACCTGGGAACTGTGCTGTTGAATCTGGGCTGAAAGCAAAGAACACCACAATCTCTTGGTGTTAGCTCCAAGGGTATGAGACACTTGCTAGTCTGTTAAGGGAAAATATAGAATACTATATTCCCACTTTTTGTGTTGAGCATCCCAAACAAATTTTATTTATAAAAATCAAAATAATGCTCATTTATAAATACAATACACTATTTTAAAATAAAAACAATTTGCTTATCTTAAATGCTTCAAGAATGGATGAAATATCATCATTAGAGAGCAATTACCACGTTAAATACTAGCATACCCACTTGGAAAAAAATGTATGACAAACAACAAAATATTTGACTTAAAAGTGTAAACGAGAAGACACTTTAACAAACCCTCTCTAAGACCGGGATATTCATGACAAATAACTCATTTAACAACAATATGTATTTATTAAAATATTAAAACAAATACCTGCTTTTTTGGTGATGAAGCTTTTGTTTTTCTGGTTTCCTGTAAAGATAATGCTGGTCGACTGGCTTTATGAAGAACAGCCAAATCTTGCATGATTGAGTTCAAAGCTTGCTGATCATCTGAGTATTTTCAAAATAATATATACACAGAATTGTAATTTCAATATTTATTTATCATAGATATCAAACACAAAATTGATCATGAAATTTAATGCAAAATGCATTAATTTAACACAAAAAATGCATCTAGGACATTTTCAATGCCTACACTGATATTTTGGTGAAATAAAGTTTTAATTATTTAACAACTGAAGACAAATAACATTAAAACTGCCCTAGACTGGGCGCCTTGGTGGCTCAGTGGGTTAAAGCCTCTGTCCTCGGCTCAGGTCATGATCCCAGAGTCCTGGGATCGAGCCCCACATTGGGCTCTCTGCTCAGCAGGGAGCCTGCTTCCCTCTCTCTCTCTCTCTCTGCCTGCCTCTCTGCCTACTTGTGATCTCTGTCTGTCAAATAAATTTAAAAAAAAAAATCTTTAAAAAAAAAAAAAAACCTGCCCTAGACTCAAGTACTAGTATCACACTAGGTGTGACATTTACAGGCAAGATAAAGCCATTCTGATTCTTCTAACAATGTAACATTCGAGTATAGTGTCAAAACAGTACCATCATAACAAATTACTTTCTATGACTCCTAAATAAAACATCAATATAACACCTAAAATTTTTAATTGAAGCAAGTTGGGTGGGGGAGAAATAAAAGACTTTCATCATTATTTGGCATTTATGTTCAAAGTACAAATTCCTTTTAGAGTTTTTCATCAGTACTTCAAGGGAGAAACAAAAAGCTTTATCTGTGGATAATTACCTAATGATATTTGGATTTTTTTTCCTGAATTTCCTCACCATGAAGTTCAACAAGACTACAAACATTTAACAGACTATTTAATGATCTCAGCCATTAACAACTTAAATGGTAATAATGTAAGAAAAATGCATTCCTTAGAAAAAATGTGGTGAATCCGTAAGTGGTGAACCTCTAAAACTGAGTGAAAGGATCATAAACCATGAACTTTAAATTTCTTCCAAATATATCAATTTTTTAAGCATGAATCTCCTAGTAATAACAATTACATGCACTCTGGAAAAGTTCATGCCTGGCTTAAATCTCTTATCACATTTATATATGCTAATTTCCTTGTTTAAAAAAATGAGTACATTTTTTCTATTATAGATGTAAAAAAGTAAAGAGGACCATTTGAATAAAAGTAATTTCTTAGTGAGATGACATATAAATGAAGGGCAATTTAAAAGTCAGGTTTCTGGGGCGCCTGGGTGGCTCAGTGGGTTAAGCCGCTGTCTTCAGCTCAGGTCATGATCTCAGTGTCCTGGGATCGAGTCCCGCATCGGGCTCTCTGCTCAGCAGGGAGCCTGCTTCCCTCTCTCTCTCTCTGCCTGCCTCTCTACTTGTGATCTCTCTCTGTCAAAAAAAAAAAAAAAAAAAAAGTCATGTTTCTTCATCTAGTATTCTCTCTGGACATCAGAATCTAAGTAAGTCCCAATCTATTTTAGCAGTTTATTTTGAATGTCCCTACTAGGATATCCTGCATGACATGGTCATTCCAAATCTATAAGTTAACTCAAAAAGTGTTTTAAAACACTTTTTATCTATTAAGTAAATAAATATAAAACAATTATACAAGTCTACATCATAAAACTTCTTTATAAAAATGTTCTTCATGCACACAGAGAAAAATTTTTCTTCCCCATTTTATCCCTTAATTACAGACAAAAGTTGCTTTTGGTTTCAACTCACCCATCATGGCAACCAGCTCAACAATTTGAAAATTAAGAAAATGGTTCTTCCATCAGCATTCTTTACTTCCTGAGGAGAAAAAAGATGAACATATTAGTAATAAAAAGAAATAGAAGAGGCAGCCACACACACAAAAATCAGAATAAGGTGTGCCTGGGTGGCTCAGTGGGTTAAAGCCTCTGCCTTCAGCTCCGGTCATGATCCCAGGGTCCTGAGATTGAGCCCCGCATCGGGCTCTCTGCTTAGCAGGGAGCCTGCTGCCCTTCCCTTCCCTTCTCTCTGCCTGCCTCTCTGCCTACTTGTGATCTCTGTCTGTCAAATAAATAAATAAAAATCTTTTTTAAAAAAGAATAAATAACACTAATGAGAAAAATACAATATTAATACTTTATATATTTTACTTGGGAAAGGTGCTTTATTTTTGCAAGATAATTACTGAGAATGAAGTAAGGATCATTATCATAGTCCATATTAAATTTAACTCAGTATTTTTAAGGCTCCTGTCTAAGCTAGAAAAAACAACAGAATTTTTCAAAGTCAAAAATCTTTTTTTTCTTCCCCTTGCCCAAAGTCGGAAATCTTTCCTTTTTTATTGAAAGGTTTTATTTATTTATTTGGGAGAGAGAGAGCAGGGGAGGAGGAGAGGAAGAGGTGGAAAGAATCTCAGGCAGACTCTGCACTGAGTGCAAAGCCTGACTTGGGACTTGCTCTCATGACCCATGAGATGACAACTTGGGCCAAAACCAAGAGTTGGAAGCTCAACTAAACCACTCAGGCATCCTGAGTGGTTTGACCATCTCAGCAAGGTCAAAAATCTTAGTAATAACCCCATAAATTCCTACAAGGCAGATATAAAATGAGTAGAAAAGGTCATTACCTTTAGAGACAAAAAAGGAGAACATTAAAAATATAGTAAATATCTACAAAAATTCTCTTCCAAAAAAGAAAAAAATGTCAGAATCAACTTTTTCAGAACTCTGGAACAACCCAAAAGGCTTGTAGCAATCTGGGCAGCACTTAATCTTGGTAAAAAGAGAGCCTCTGACCTTCCCTATTCGTATCTCCCACCCTTATCCCTAGCTCCAAAATAGCAATGTAAACCAACAGTCTACAGTCACTGTGAAAATAAGCAGCTTGACTACCACTGGAGAGGGCAGAATGGAATTGGAACTTCTTCAAAGTCTGATTCCAAAAAAAACGCCATATAACCTATCTAGTGGTTGTTCAATAGACCCAACTTGAAAGGCAGAATTTATTTAATTTGACTAAAGTTCTTCCAGTTCAAAGAGCTTGGAGTGTTTCATGAAATGTAAAAGAACTGTTGGGGCAAACAATAGGTTTTAGCCAAGTTGAGGAATGAGATTTCAGAAAGGAGATCTGAATAGCTCCAACAGATTCCTGGGACTCAAAGTCACATATATGCCCAGAACTGTTGCAAAATAAAGATAGGCCAAAGAAGGCTCTAGGCTTCCACCTAACAACTAAACTAATGTCAGTGACCACATAAAACACAAAATACAAACTTTAAACAATTAGTGCCCAAAAGTCACTAAACAAGTAATAACAATTAAACAAAACATACTGGAGTTGGAGAAGAATCTGATTTCCAGAGGTGGCATACAATTTTTTTCTTCAGAAAAAATTATGAGATATATAAATATAGTATGACCCATACACTGGAGGGGCGGGGAGGGATCAGCAGAAACTGACTGTAAGGGCAGCCCAAATGTTGAACTAACTAGACAGAGAGATTAAATCAGCTGTTTTAGGGGGGCCTGGGTGGCTCAGTGGGTTAAGCCTCTGCCTTCAGCTCAGGTCATGGTCTCAGGGTTCTGGGATCAAGCCCCGCATTGGGCTCTCTGCTCAGCAGGGAGCCTGCTTACCCCTCTCTCTGCCTGCCTCTCTGCCTACTTGTGATCTTCCTCTCTGTGTCAAATAAATAAATAAAATCTTAAAAAAATAAAAAAAAGTTAAGATTTTATTTATTTAACACAGAGAGAGAGAGGAGAAGGGAACTGGGGGAAATTGGAGGGGGAGACAAACCATGAGAGACTGTGGACTCTGAGGAACTGAGGGTTTTCGAGGGGAGGGGACTGGGAGGTTGGGTGAACCTGGTGGTGGGTATTATGGAGGGCACATATTGCATGGAGCACTGTGTGTGGTGCATAAACAATGAATTCTGGAATACTGAAAAGAAATTTAAAAAATAAATGAAATATATTTTTTTTTAATTTTAATTAAATCAATCAATCAACTATTTTAAATATGTTCAAAGAACTAAGGACTGTATGAGAATGATGACTCATCACAAAGAATATCAATAAAAACCCAAAAACTTTAAAAAGAAACCAGCCAGAAATTTCAGTTGGAAAACATAATATCTGAAACCATTAAGCACACCAACTTATGCATAATGGGAGTCCCAAAAGAAGAGGAGGAAAAAAAAGGTACGGAAAGAATATTTAAAAAAATAATAGTGAAAAACTTTCTAAATTTGGTAAAAAACAACTTACACATCCAAGAAGTCCAACAAACTATAAGAAGGATAAAAATCAAAGTGATCTACACCTAGATACATCACACTCAAACTGTTAAAAGATAAGGAATCTGAGAGCATCAATAAAGTAGGAACTCATCATTTACCAGGGATGCTTAACTGATTTTTGTTGATAACATAAGAAGGCAGAAAGCAGTGGGTAACATTCAGAGTACTGAAAGAAAAAAAACTATCAATCAAAAATTCTATATCCAACAAAACCATCCTGCAAAACTGAAAACAAAATTAAGACATTCCTACACAAACAAACACAGAGAATTCATTACAACTAGACCTGCACTATAAGAAATACAAAAGGAGTTCTTCAGGCTAAAATATAAAGGACACTGGATGGCAAATCCAATCCACACGCAGAAAGTAATGGTAATTAATTACATATCTAAAGATTAAAAAAGACCACAAAAATGTTTGTTTCTTTTCATTTCTTCCATATGTGAATGTAATAGGTACAAAAATGGTCCACCCCATATCCCATTTCCTAGAACCTTTGCAAATATATTACCTTACATGGCAAAAGGATCTTTGAAGATATGATACGTTAACAAATTTAAAATGAGAGAATTATCCTGGCTTACTGGGGTCAGACCTAACATAATCACAAGGATCCTTATAAATAAAGGAATAAGCAGGTAAGTGAATGTCAGAGTGATGCTGCATAATAAAGGCTTGACCTGTCACTGTTGGCTTTGAAGACGGACCAGGATAGCCATGAGCTAAAGAATACAGGCAACTGCTGGAAAGTGGGAAAGGCAAGAAAAATGGATTTTTCCCCTTTAGCCTCCAGAAGGAGTCTGGCAGAGTCTGGCAATGCTGACACCTTGATTTTTTAGCCCAGTTAGATTCATTTCAGACTTCTGACTTCCAAAACTTTAAGACAATAAACTTAGGTTGTTTTAAGCCACCAAATTTGTGGTAATCTGTTACAGGAGTATGAAGTGAGTACTTAAGACCACACCCAGTTTCTATGACTTGCCAGGGAACTCAACTGACTCAGCAATACAGTTCACACTAACAAGCTATAATTTATTATGCCAAAAACATACAGGGCAAAATCAGCAAAGGGAAAAGGCACATGGGACAAAGTCCAGGGAAGGTTAGGGCTAGCTCTTAAGGATCTTTTTTTAATAGTCACATAGGACACAATTCCTCTTGCCCTCCACCCAGCCATGAGTTATGACAACACACATAAAATGTCACCAATCAGGAAAGATTAGAGACTCAGCACCAAGGGTCTTATTAGGAGCTGATCAATAGGTATCTTCTGCCTAGCACATACCAAAATTCCTAACTCCCAGAAGAAAAGCAGGTGTTCAGCATAAACTATATTGTTTGTATAAGGAGCTTAGGCACGGTGAATCATTATTATCATTTAGGCAGTTGTGGACCCTGGTAAATTCTCAGATGCTAACCAAGGGTGGACTTCTTAGAGCAGTTCATTCTAATGATACACAGTGAGGCCCACTATTGTTAATTCTCTTCTACACAAGCAACAACAAGATATACACAGGTTTAAAGAAACTGCATAGAGCAATAATATAAAGTGTTTTGTTGTGCACATAATATATAATAATATAATTTGTATAACAACAGCAAAAAGGAGAATGGAATTACATAAAAAAGTGTATGTATACCACTATAATTAAGTTGGTATCAACCCAAACTACACTGTTTTAAGTTATTAATTTTAATCCCAAGTCAATTCTAGAAAAAAGTTGCAAAAGAAAGAGAATAAATTAGCATACTAGAAAATATCTAACACAAAAGAAAGCAATAACAGAAAAATGAGAAACAAAAAAAGACCTAACACACATAAAAGACAAATATAAAGTAGATGTAATTCTACCCATGTATAATTACATAAGTGGAATGAACAAACCATTTAAAGAATAGAGATTAGCACAAGAGACTAAAAAGCACTGATCCAACCATATGCTGTCTACAACAGACACACACTTCAGATTCAAAGGCAAAACAGAATGAAAGTAAAAGGATGAAAAGAGATACCATGCAAACAGGAGTCTTCAATCAAGGATCTTAAATCAGTAATCTAAACACCTACCTTAAGACCCTGGAAAAAGAAGAGCACTGTAAACCCAAAGTAAGCAGAAGGAAGGAAACAATAAGGATTAGAGTGGAAATAAACTAGGAAATAAAAACACAATATAAATTTTTAAAATCAATGAGACAAAGTATTGGTTTTCTACAAAGAGAAAATTAACAAACTTTTAGCTAGACTAACCAAGGAAAAAAGAGAAAAGATACAAATAACTAAGCTCAAGAATTAAAGACAGAACATTACTACCAATCTTACAGAAATAAAAATAAGGAAATACTATGAACTATATTTCCAATGAATTAGATCACCTGGATGAAATAGACAAATTATTAGAAACTACCAAAATTAATTCAAGAAGAAATTTAAAATCAGAATTCAATATAAAAACTAATGAGATTGATTTAGAAATGAAAAACTTTCTGCAAATAGAAGTCAAAACCAGATGCCTTAAAACAT